TTGTTGCATATTTCTTCTTAGTATGTGACGATCGGATATGTATAAAAGAAAAGTCATCTACGAACAGTGCCGTTTGAACTTAATCGTTGATGGGAAATTCCGAGATGTAAATTTCAATAACAATTGACATATTCGTGAGCCTCGACAGACGTCTGCATGGGCTTGCCTAGAGAGCAATTGGTTTTCTAATGCGAACGGAATTGCTTACGACTTTGTACAAGTATTTGGAGATATCTTTTCTCATTTGCACTGTAGACCATCGAGCATTCTACAAAACACATCAGAACATATTATAATTTATTGGGACCTGAAAAACGCCCGAAAACGGAGATCAATTTACTCGAATGCACTTGTCGAAATGTGAACCCGTCATCAGTTGCACATTATGAAGAGCTTTTAAAAAAGGAAAATTTTCTTCAATCACGATTCCACGTATATTTAATCAACGAAATAACGGTTTCAGTTATTATCGCCTTGTAGAATTGATCATGAAAAGTTTCGTCTTCGGTCTGATGCCTCGATTGCAGCTTAAGACGGACGCCATTTTTGCAAGATAAAATTCCTTCAATTCTCTCATATTGATAACCGTGGAGATTAAAATATACAATGTTTTCTTAACAAATTTACATATAGTAAACTGTTAACGACAATCCGTCTCTCTCGAATCGTATTTATGTCACACAGATGAAGGGTGGATAATGTAAAAGGAGGCGTAAAAGGAGCGAAATATCTGTAAGAAAAAAGTTTTACTCACGTACAGGTATGTGAGGTCATGGATATTAACGCCATTCTGATTCGTACATCACATTTTCAATCTCAAATATGTTTAAGACGTGCAAGTAATTGAGCAGGTAAATATTAGTGAATAAACTGTATAGTAGTTTTCTTTAAACGTGACCAATATTCTGTGAGAAAAATATAGTGTACCTCCTTGTGCCCGACCTTCAATAACAGTTGGATCCCACCTGTTTCTTCATTTGAGCAAGCGAGGTATTCAGGTGCCATTCAGGGGTTTTCCCCCCGAAAAAATATATCCAGCAATAAACTTATCTACAGCATGGGTTCGAGGACAGTGCCTTGCCCACGGACACAGAGACTGGCCAGCTGGCTGACCATTCCCGTAGCAAAGGAAAAGCGTTCTCCCACAAAAGGTTAGAGGACGTAAAAAGCCCTCCAAATAGTAAATGTGACTCATCACCGAATCCTAAACAAGTAATGTTCTTGTGAAAATAAACGGAGTTAAAAAAGTCCCTGCTTACCATTGTGACGTAGTGAAATAAGAAATAAATTTCAATAACAAAATAAAAATAATATATTCAAAGATTATGTACAAGTTACAATGAATTGCTAATATTAAAACACTCCGGCAACCTTTTCCTTTCGGAACACTGCTTTACCGCAGAAAATACAAGCCACGCGTGATGCGCGCCGTCGGACCTCTGTCCCGTGACAATTACCGTCACATGGCCTGACGCCAAAATTTAACCCGGTCGTGGCGACCGTGTGCCTACAGCACGCGAGATCGTCTGGCCCTTACTCTCCGGACATCTCGCCCCCACTCCTACACCCCTTGTACACCCACGTACAAGCTTCCCGATGCAACTGAATGAGAACGCGGGCGCAGATAACGCCGCGTTAAATAGTTGAGGCTGACACCCCCACCACTGTTCCATAGATAGACTCGCACTGGCGCGAGGCTCGCAGGCCAGCCTTTGGTTTACGCCCACACACAGAGAATTCTCAGGTTGGCTGCCTGCTTCCGGTTGAGGCACGCTAGCTAGCCTCCTCGGAGTTTACAGCCAACGGTATTTTTGTGGCTCTGCGGCTCTACATGAGTCAACCGCCAGAGCGCAAACTCCGGATGTTCAGGCTTAACCCCTCCTTCCTCCCCCGCAGCGTACTTTCACCAACCTAACGGTTCTGGCCCTCGTGTTAACGACGCCACACCATATAACATATTGTCCCTTCGACATTAACAGCAGTGATTCAACGGACCCTTCCAATAGAACCTTCCCCTCATCTTTGTCGTGGACATGCCGACTTGAAACTCATTCATCTATTTACGCACGCTAGTTGCGGTTCGGCCGGTCGCGAGTCGCCTTGGCCCGCCACTAGGTCGATGGCCTCTGCGTCCCATCGGGGTCATTTGTCGTGAAGGTTCTTTGAATCCCTCTGCTCTCGCCGACACCCCCGCTCCTTTGAACGAAGAGCGTGGCTTCTTCCAAAACTTCTACACAAACACGAATTTTGGTTATTTAAGGTCGCATCGACAACTAGGTCATTAGCGACCACTATTGGATTTACCGTAATGGTGACTACGAAGTTGACATGATATGATAATTATAGCGGTGAAAGGACGAACACAAATGCAACCATGCCTGAGGCGGGACTCGAACCCGCGATCCTTCAGCTCCAGATCGCTACGACACTATGGCCTTAACGATCTCCGCCATCCGGACGACCAAACATGATTTTTGTTGGCGTCACTGTGCAAGTTTTATGTCTGTATTGTACGCGACTGTAGTTGTAAGTTTATATCCGCGGCGGCGATGGTGTTTGCGACGGCGATGGTGTAACGGTTAGCGTAGTGGACTGTTGTACCCAACAGTTGGCGGGTTCAAACCCGATCGAAGCCGTGGATTTTTAAGGGCGAAAAAATCCTTCGTACGCCTTCCTTCGGAGGGGAAGTAAAGCCGGCTGTCCCATGTTAGTAGATTTACGTGCATGTAAAAGATCCTCAAGCCTAAATGACGTGAGTGCTCTGAGCTAAATTCAAATCGCCTGTTTCTCGCCCAAGAAATACCTCCTTTCTCTCCTAGTTGGTGAAAAGAGCGTAGCGAAATTTGCGTGGTCAGACGGAAGAGCGGGCCTGATGGCCCGAGTCTCGCCACGTAAAATAAGGCAAATTCAATTCAATATCTTGGGAGACCCACCTCTAACTATTCTCACACCACCTTCGGAGGCAATAGCAGCGCGCCTCGCCCCTTCAGACTCAAAGAGGTTTTGGGTGGGCTGTCGCACTGCCGTGCAGAGAATGCCCTCCTCCAAACCCCTCCACATCACGACCCTCTCCTCAAACGCCATGCTGTCGCCACACAAACCGCTCAGGGCAACAACTATTGTCACTGCAGTGCTTGTAATCGGAAGGTCCTGTGCTTCGAGTACTGGCGGTGGCAGAATTTTTGACATTAGCTAGGAATCTAGGTCGAATTCAGCCACTGTTTGGAGGAGAGTCCTAGTAAGTGGCGACTTTGATCGGTAGTTTTATGTTGTTTCTTCAATCAAAACCTTTAATCAAAATTTTCAAGGAATAAATCGCTCTCACCATCCATGCATTGCTCCTGGAGGACGAATTTTAAATTTTCTTTCTCTCCGCTTAAAAGTGTAATTATAAAGCTCTATCGACATTTGAATGTCATCTCTATTTCTTTTCTCAGTTCAGGTTGGTAAAACGTAAGCGTATTGCCAATTTTGGAAACAGTCAGACACGTTATAAGCTTTGTTCTATAGAACTGTGTTTTATCGGGATCGACTCTTTTCCAGTTATCTCGGAAGGTCTTGAGACTATCGATGTGGACTACCAGGCCTTGTCGTCACTTGGCTGACTTTCACATTGAACACACTTTTTAACACCAATTCATAGACATGATGGTGACAAATAAAATTAACATTTCTCTATTAAAGTTTTGTCCTAGAAGAATGCAGGCATCATTGATACGACCTGAATTTAAAGCTGTATTATCACCACAAAGAATTTGCAGATTATTTTCATGATTTCAGTCTACAATCGCGTTCCAAACAGCTTGCGCATGTATGCTTCATGAAGAGATTTCCACCATTGGTACAGTAATAAGTTGTTCTTTATTTCCGTATGAAATAAAGATCGCACGACGTTCTTTTGATTTCTGATCATCTAAAGCAGGCAATAGTTTTCTATCGCAGTCAACAGTCAACATCTGTTACCTCGTTTTGAAAATCAACTTTTACGGCTTCTACACTCTGATACACTTGATGCCTATCAACCTTGCTAATCATTTAGGAGTAATGAAATCTTTCCACTTGAATATTTTACTTGTTTAAGTCGGGTGATCTTAATCAGCGTTAGCAAATCTGCTTGTAAATACACTACTATAAATACATTGGATTAGAATCTGAAGATGAATCGTTTTATGATTCATGAAATGGTGCCAAAGCAATTGGTGCGGAGAAATGTTTAGCACGACGCTTGTCTTCGTCAATAGTTCCAAGGCATACCGTTTCCTCTTTTTCAGTCAGGTGTTTTACAGAAGTTTAAAACCCGTTATTTTAATGTTTCACGACCTGTATTAAATCATACTCTTTTTAGAACTGTGTAATGCCACCGACACGTTGTCTATTTAAAAACGATGCGTTTAGTAACAAAATAGCACGTAATTACTAGCACGTCGACGCCAGCTCGTGTTAGGCTGAGTCTGCAAATACAGACAGGTTTCGATGCACGTCAGCACGGGTTGTCACGGTCTTTCGTGCATGAAATTCCATTTACATTTGATTTGACACCAAACAAAAAAAATAATAGGTTGTGCATTAGAAAAAAGACACATTGTTGGGGGACACCCTACTGGACACCCACACACACCGATCAAATATCTAGGACTCAAACTTCAAATGAAATCAATACATGATATCAAAATAACCGAAGACAAAAATAAATTACACCTATGAAAACATTTAATTAGTCGTCCTTTTGCGTACCACCTTACAAAACTCCACTCATAATATACAAATCGATCGTAACGCTAAATCTGGATAAATGCCGTCAAGGCTAATATCAAAAAAGGTTCAAATTATCGAAAATATATTATTCAAATTAACCCAGTTCATTATAAAACTTCACCTACACATCATTTAGGGTTCATGACACACCAAAAACAACATACCTCTCCGCCCAATTATTTCACATCTATCTTAGATCCTTCGCCTCATCCGTTTTTAACTCGGGAAAAATTCTCCTAGCATACCTAGAATCAAAACCTATCTCCATTTCAAATTTTTTCCTCAAAGTAGCTTATTATCCACAATAAATCTTCTCAATCTCGAGAGATTTAAGATATTTTAAGGAGTATTTTAAATACAACTAAGACTATTATATATATGTATAGTTCTATGACACACTGATTCAACTCGCTTATTGCAACAAAAAGAATTTGAGAAGATTTTTATATTTTTATTAATTATTTTTATTTTAAAACAAAATAGAAATCAGATGCGGAAAATGCAAATCAGACCACAAGGAAAATAGAGCATCAGAAGATTTATTATTCTTTTAAAAATTTCTTTCCTCCAATAGTTTCAGGCAAGTGAGGTGTCTGTTGCCGTTTTTCAGTCTGCTGGTGGGGAACTGGACATTTAATCGTACCTTTCTAGCATAATTAAAATCTTCAAATTAATAAATACAGAAATAATTTTTAAATTCTCTGTAGTGTCGGAGACGCTACACTAAACTCGTAATTTAGTATTAAAGTCGATTCGTAGAATGCAACATAAAAAAGTTACATCTAAACGCCTTAAGTTTTCATTCATCAATATATTCATTAAATATAATGCATTCGTTAATAATAGTTTTGAGATATTTAATCTTTTCGAGTGTGGACGTTGGAAATTCATGTTATTCACTTACGATTATTAAAATTATATATCTGCATTTTACGGCATTTCTTCATCGAGCGACACATAGCTGACAAAATAGCTCATTTATTAACTGAGTAATTGTCAAAATTTCAGGGATTTCATCGAAAATAGGTCTGAAAGCTGAAGCTATATCGACTATTTGAATGTGTCCTCATCCATCAAAATTAGGGTGTCCTTGTCGTCACATCACACACATCTGTTCACACATCAGCTAAGCGCTTGAGCCAATCTCCTAATAGAGCCGCTTCTCATAATGCTATCCATGCGCGTAAATTGGAGTCTAAGTGGGAGGACAATCTGAAGTTCATCCAATCCGGTTAAAATAATTATTTCAAGTTCGATACATATTTGTTTAAACTAGTCAAAAAAGGTACTTTCTATTGTAATATCAATTAAATTAACTGTTTAAAATAATTTAGCTACGGAAAATTAAAAAAATATTAACTAAAACAACTATAGTTTTTTTAAACAGTTTTATCAGTTTTGGGAAAAAAGGCTAATAATTTGAACACCACGTCTTATCAATATAATAGTAGCAATTTATCACAGACGTGTAATGTAATTTGACATAACACATATTTTATCCTAAAAGATTCAATTATATAAACAAAGGAATACTATAAATAATATTTTATTACTTGTATGTAGGGTCATATCTTTCTTAAGAAACTAGCACTAGTCGCCATCATCGTTTGATCCCAATGAGCGTAACATCCGGTTTCCAAGTTTTAATGTCTGTTTGGAATTTATGTCCTGGTACGTGGCTGTGTCAAGATTTCCTTCTTTTGTTGTAATCGAAAAGTCCTTTATTATCTTCACAAACGATTTCCAAGATTTTAATTCCTTTTTCTTTTCATGAAAGATAGTGTTACAAATCAGGTTTCTAATACCAGATCCAATGAAATTACCCTCTTCAAGTCGGGTTTCTCTTAACGGTGGATAGAATACTTCGAGCGTCCGCCACATTGACTGGGGATTTTGGAAAAAAATTGATTGCCTGCTACTTCCCTACACCGGGAACGCTTGATATTGTCACATTACGGGTGCGTCAATGGCAATACACTATGTGATCAAAAGTATCCAGTCACTTCCAAAATGGTGTTATGGTGTGGTCGTGTTTTTCATGGAGGGAGCTTGCTTGTTGCTTCTTGAAGAGCAATTTGGGGATAGCGATTACACCTTTCAACACGATCGAGCACCTGTTCATACTCCACGACCTGTAGTGGAGTGGTTACACGACAATAACATCCCTGTAATAAACTGACCTGTACAGAGTCCTAATTTGAATCCTATCGAACACCTTTGGGATGTTTTGGAATGCTGACTTCGTGCCAGGCCTCACCAACCTACTTCGATACCACTCCTCAGTGCAACGTGAAGAGTGGGCTGCCATTCCCCAAGAAACCTTCCAGCACCTGATTGCAGTTATGTCCGCGAGAGTGAAAGGTGTCATCATGGATAAGGGTGGGCCAACACCCTATTGAATTCCTGCATTACCGATGGAGGCCATTTTCAGCCACCTCAAGACATTTTCAGCCACATTTTTGGACACGTTTGATCACATTGCGTAGTTACATGAAGAGTGAAAGCAAGACGGAACATGGAGGCGACGAAACCTCTCCAAATGCAGCTGTGAAACGAAGTGTGGGCGAGCGGCCGTCCTTCGCAGGGAAATATGTTACGCGTGGGCAGTAAGGTGGTGCGCTGAGGATGGGATAGTGGCATAGAAAGAGAAAACCCTTGTTCGAGCGTTTCTCATCTCTCAAATTTTTCATACAAAAGAGAAAAAATGAAAACATCTGGTTGCGATACTGAACGATAGTATCGTCTAGTATTTCATGATGTATTTGCGTTAGCAAAATAGCCTTATCCATTGTATAATTTTGTTCACATTACGGTTATACAATCTGAATGGAATTGCGTAAAACAATATTACACTTTGCGTATCTATTAAACAGATCATAAGATCCTTCGGTAAACTTCTCACTGCTTTGAGAAATATTATTTTTGCGACATTGCTACGCCTGATCTTTGATATGCGAAACAAGGCGATCGCACAGGGATCAAATTCATAACTGTTTAGCGATCACGTATTCAGGCATTAATCCACAGAGAGCTATATTCCACTTTAAAAGTATCATAAGCGATAATATTCCAATTTTTTATTCTAAGGGTTGTACACGTAAAAACATCAAATGTTGTACATTCAAGCCCGCACTGCCGACGGTCGTCTCTATCGCCTGCTGTATCTAGTCGAGATTTTATATTCCACAGTCACTGAAGAAAGGTTGTCTCGTCAGTGTCCACAAAAGCAACACCCTTCAAAAATATTTTTTTAGATGAATTAATAACAATGTATAAAAAATAGTATATTTTCACTAGAATCAATTTCATGAATACTGTTCACATGACAGTCGGTGTACTTAAGTCTCAGAATAAATGTTAAAAATTTCCTGAGCATGTAGGTAAGTCGAAGACGATAACTTTTTGCCAATGACAATGTGGCGGGAAATCTCATGTAGCATGTGACGTCTGCCCACGATTGCCATGCAACCCTTCGGTGCCCTGTATTTGGTAGATGCACTTTCTCGCAGTCAGAGATATTTGATGTATCTACCAAATACACCCGTGCAAGAAGCCTACCAATAATAGAAAATGTCACACATGTAACTCCATTTTAAGTTTCCTCATCACATGTTCACTGGCAAATAGTTATCATCTTTGACCCTCTACATACCCTAGAAATTCGTAACAAGTATTCCAATCAACCTGTAGAGAGTAAACCCGGTTTTTGGCCTTGGCTTCAGTTTTCTTCACACATACCTCTTGAAATCTCAGAACATGAATAATATTGAAATCTACTCCGAGATTTAAAAAAGGAATGTGTATCAAGTAGAAGTACAAAATGTTACTGACATGTTTTCGCTTAGGACGTCCTTAAAAAAACAGGGACATTCAGAGGGAAAACAATATTGTGATGTTTTTTTGCAAAATGATGAACACAACTAAAAGTATATTGTTGATACTATGTACAAAATCTGACTTTATATCTAAATCATATGCACGTATATTCTCGAATATTGTCTCTACATGTAAAATAACAGTTGTTATTCTACAGACGCAACTTTTTCGTGTGCAGTATACCGAGCATTACGTGCTTTGAAGAGATCCGAGCAGATTACCGAGTCATTTAGTCAAGTCCAGATTATCGAGAAAACTTTGATAAGCTCTGTTCAAACAAATGCCCCAATGAAGCGTCTTGTTTTGGAGTTCTCCAACAAGCGTCGCACGCAGTGCTAACAAAGGAGCAAAAGTTGTTTGTAATGAGATTATATTTACATCCGAAGCGACCAGCTTCCGCGATGGTTCACGGATACCAAACATTTTTAACTACGAAAAGTTGTTTATTGGCATCATTTTGTCAAAGAAGACATCCAAAAAAAATGAATTATTTATTGTACGGAAAGATCTGTATAATTCATACTTTAATGTTTTTTACAAGTGTAATGTACAGATTTACATGTAGTAAAGGATATAGGCGGATAAGGTGGTGAATAGTGCCCCCAAATCAAATCTATAATCGCGATGGTCAATAAAAGAGAAACAAAAAAGACCGTAGATTCCCAAGAAATCAGCCTCCTAGGACTAATGTGTTGCAGGGTTAGAGAAACATGTTTTCCATGTTTTATTTTTTCTCAGCTTCTATTGCATGTATCACACTGCAAAAAATTCTAGAGACGGTGGGAAATAGTTTAGTAGTCGGTATTTTTGTCAACCAGTTTTTACGCTTAATTCAAATACAAAAATTAAATACATTTTTGAAACTGATTTTCGAAGAGATAACGTTGGAGTACTGTGTCAGTTTCCCCCAAAGAATGTCTCTCATAACATTCTATAACATATGTTTTTCAGATCTTTAAACATTGTGGACAAGTTAAAAACCCAACTTGTGTAAAAGTGTAGTGTATATGAATGTGTATGTGTATGCGTATGTGTGTGTGTGTGTGTGTGTGTGTGTGCGTTTGTGTGTGTGTTTGTGTGTAAGGAAAGAGGGTAAGAAGAAAAATAATGTGCGGTCCGTGGCCCATTTGTTAGGATACTGCTCCGTCAATCATCTGGTATTAAGCTATATGTCTACTCATTGCTAAAATTTCCAATAAATTTAGTTTTAGCACTTAATTTTATGACTTCAACTTAGATATAGATGCAGGAAACTTAAAATAACTTCCCATTTTTTTAAATAAAAATTACATTTTGAGTTATTCGAATTTTTACAGTGCTTTACTTGTGACACAATATCATTATTAATATTTAAAATATTTTCATAATTATTTTACCAGAAAAGATATTAAT